CTATGATATCCACCCCCGCATATATCAACCAAATAGACTGGTCCCATGATGTTGATATTAGAGAGGGTAGACTGTACATATATCACATGCGACCATCCGGAAAAATTTCTGCCGAAAGGTAATGTGATACACGCATTGTGAAACCGAATACATTTCTCACATATACCCATTTGTCGTTTTTTCGCTTTTTCTTGTACCATTCCGCAGTCTACCAATAATATTCCACCAAAAAATCATATATAACTCGAAATGTCTATTACTCTGGTCTGTTTGGTTAAAGGAAACTTACTCGCGAATGCGTTCGCTGTTGATATTGATAGTGGCAAGTTAGTAAGCCACCTTAAAAAAGTTATCAAGGCGGAGAAGCAGAATGATTTCGCTAGTGTTGACGCCGACAAACTCAAGCTGTGGAAGGTCGAAATTCCTGATGATCACGATTCCGAGTTAGCCAGCCCTGCATTAGATGACGAACTTCTGGCAACTCGAGACGTAGGAGATTACTGGACTGCACCACCAAAGCGACATATTCATGTCATAGTCGAGCCACCGGTGCAAATCGCCAGTTCGAGCCGTGAGCAGGAATTGCTTGACCAACTCGCCTTGTTGCGAGCACAGCTCAATAAGTCTGTTCATGGTACGTATCTGTATAAAATTTCTTGGCAAAAAAACCGTTCCCTCAGGGAACGATCAGACTATATTCTGAAAAGATTTTTTACTAATCAGCTGTTGTGTTGCAGAATTCGATGTTGTCGTAAGCCCGAAACGGGTGAAATCATTCAAGTGGACAGTGAATATCGAACATGCAATCCTCGAAGGGCTCAAGAAATCCATACGTGTGATATACCAAACACCAGCACTTGAAAATGATGGAGTAGTGTTCAATCTAGTAAGCGATAGCGGAAAATACTCACCTCGAAACGATCAAGACCTTTGTGAAATACTCCAGCTACTCGTGTCAAAAACAGCTTCAAGTTTACCGTGTTTATAGAGACACCCTCGAAGCCTTTTGCAGAATGGACATTTCCAAAGATATGCCAGCTGTATGGACTCAGTGAAACAGATGATCCGTCATTGTCAGTATTCCCATCTTTCATATGCGAGTGCAAAAGTCTGAAAGACGAATATTCCCAAGCAGTACTTGAACATCTTATAGCCGAACTGAAGGCACGTCTCAAGACCATTCCAATCAGTGGAAATGAAGCATCGAAATCGCAATACGTATGTCTCTACCTAATTGCCGGTGCAAATTTATTCGAAGGCAAGTTTGAGCTCCGACCAGAAAAAACATCTCAGGGCCAAATGGGCATGGTCCAGTCGATTTTGCGCTAGACTTACTCCGAACCGCAAGAACTGCTGGCGTGACAGAAGTCAAGGACGAAGATTTTTTCAAGGGTATCGCTCAAAATGCTGTCCAACTTGAATCAGCTTTGACGAATCGCAAGCGTAAGGCTAGCGAGATGGATGAAGAGGGTGTGTTTGTGGGTAAGGTGTTCGGAATTGTCACAGATGCGAAAGAATGGTATTTTTTAGAGTGTTCGCTTGATGATCAAGAAAGGCCGAGATTTAAACTATCGAAACCGCTGGTCGTTGTATATGAAAACGAGGATATGGAAGCTATGGTGGAAAGGGTCCTCGGTCATATTGGAAGAGGTACAAAAACCCGAGGAATCAGAGGGTGGAAATAAGAGAGTTAAGGTGGATTAGCTTGTTGTGGCTTGATTTTGTAATTACTGGCCTATTTATTATTAATAAATCACTCTGCAATCGTGTTATTGTGTGTTTCATTACCAGTATATTGATCATCTCCGCATACAAAAAAGCAACTAGTGGGCGCGACCCTTAACAATTTGCCCAACATGAATGTTGTTTTGCGTGCGAATTCATAATGAAGTGACAAATTGGCTTTCTAGGGGTTATACACAAAGAAATGAGCTAGATATCAATTCGTCCTCGCTTTCATTAATTCCACTCTTCAGTGCCACCATGAACTCTATAAAACACGTCAATTTCGTAAACGATATCCGCAGGTTCGTCCTTAGAACAATTTACAATTACAACGCAAAACGTACGGAAATCTAATAACTCGTTAGTGTGAAATCACAAATTATATCGCATCAAAACGCAAAAATGTTCTCAAACAAATCAGATTTTTTCGTGCTCGTCGCATTCAATGTAGTAGATTATGGGTAGATAATGAGAGGGAGTTAGAAATAGTGATAGCGCTGGACCTAGCGGGACGAGAGAATAGGGGTGGTCATCGCCTTTTAGGCAGGCTTTGGGTCCGACTACTTCAGTATCTGAGAAATTGGATACTGTTTACCTCCCATGTAGTTTCGCTATGGTCCAAGCTTTTTATATCTGTATTAGCGAGACCTCTTAGTTTTATATATTTCGGCGCTGGCTTATCAGAGAAATAAATTTTAGCCATGCTAGCTTCCCCAATTTGACGTTGGGCTCGTGATTTTTAACAATCCGATCAAATGATAATCGTGACACAATCACTAGCCTGATAAATTCCGTTTGTTATTGTTGCTTTGCCTCGTGGGAAAAAATTCTTTTATAGTATCTCCTTTCGCTTGCAACTACCTTCTCCAAACCAAAATGGAACATACACCAACTCGGATGGATATTCCTTTGTTCGAACTTTTAGCAATGTTAGTAGAGCAAGCGTTACGTCTAAAACCACTGCGTGAGTAAATATGTGTAACTGGTATTTCTCTAATCCTTCAGCTAACTTTCCAGAGCTATTCTTTAGTGACAGCGTTGATGTTGTTCAAAAGAGAATGCCTGAATACCACTATTATAGAACCTTATGGTGGGAAAAAGGCGATTTCCATCAAAAAGCAAATTGGGAAGAAGCAACGTAAGTCCCTTTCCTACTTGTTATTAACGTTGGCTGGATATTTTTACGATCTGTGAGATAAAAGCCAATTTTTGCTATTCGTATCAAGACTTCCGTATAAACTTGCGGTTGGTGTCACCTTGGAAGAATATGAAGAGCGTTCGGATAAGTTTAACATCCGTGGATATTGGGAATGGATTAATGGCGATGTTATAATTTATGAACTTCCGTCAAAGCCACACGAAGTTCTTATTGTTGCGATATCTGAAGAAATATCCTGGAGATGCTCTCCTGTACGTGGAACCGATGGCCGTATCATAGGTCTTGGCGCAATTCGTAAATATCAATTCATTAACTGTCCCAGCCTTATGTTTGTGATATCAAACAAATCTTTGTTCTTAAGGAACTCGCGCCGACGATTCTGAGAAAGAAGCGGATGCATGCTTCCGCCCTAAAAAACCACGAGTGGCACCACCAAATGGGAGTAATGAAAAGGTATCTTCTTTTATTGGCTCTGAACTCTTCAGAACTAAGATTTCATATTTTCACGATTTCAGGATGAGCCCTGGCCGAATCTCGTCATTGAAGTGGCGTATTCTGAGAGTGAACCACATGTTCTTGAAAAAGTGAAAGATTTCTGGCTACGTAATCTTAGTCGTGCCCACGACGCGATCGTGGTTAAGGTTGATAAACCTCCTGAAGAAGACGAAGCTCCTTTACGGATGCAAGTAAGTTATATTGTTAAAGTGCACATGACATTTCATTGTTTATTTGTCATTTTAAATAATTTAACCTACCAGGCATGGCACTTTTGTGCCAGGGACAGACCCAGAAGAACAGCTGATATCCGGCCTCGGACTCATGTAATGTCATAAACAAAGAATAATCATCTTTTTTATCAATGTGTCAAATTTCTAACCTGATGTTTAATTGTTAGTTTGAATTCGGTACCCATGACAAATATGGGAACCCGACAAATATTCAACCAGGTCAATGTGTCATCAACATTTCCCTGGATTGTTTGTATCACGATGCGTATCCTGAAGCTACAATTCACCGACAACTTCTCCCTGATCCAATTGTACTGGATTTCTTGACAATTCGGGACCAATTCCTTTCTGCGTATGAATAACAGAAGGGAGTAAATGATGTGATGATTATGGGCTGTGTCTGACTTTGCAATTTATTTTTTATCACTAAACAATGAAATTTTTTACGCGTGATAATGAGTGCATTATGATTTATTTGGGGTCGTCTCCGAGATGCACAAATCTGAGACACGCGAGGAGCGTAAATAGTCTGATAAACTC